CTGTTACAAACAGCAAGTATCTCAGACACCCAGCTGTTCAGGCACATCTCTCTTTCTCTACTATTTATTCACATATCCATATAAAAATATGTCCCCCTTGCTTTTCTTCTTTTTGTGGAGATGGTAATTGAATTAAAATGTTTTGATTTTCAGGATTCTTAGTTTCCTTTCAGCCTCGGTGCCAAGTCTTTAGGGCAGATATAACAAAGCCTTTTTTCAATAAGTGAGAGGTGGTTGTGGTTTCAAGTCACTCAGCTGTCAGTATTCAATGTTAGGAGCCTTATTAAAATGCACAGTCGAGAAATACATAATGCTTTCAACGTTAAAGGAAATCAGATTGAGCTCAGCTGAAAATTGGTGGTGCCGGCTCTGCCTGCACAAAGTGTCTCTGCTCCTTCTTCACATGCACGAGTGTAAAGCAAAACAAATTCTCCTGAGCACACACAGGGATTTGTCATGATTCTCTGTCATCAAACAGCTATCCAAGGTGAATTCAAAATTTTATCTAAATTTTCACCTGTGCTTCATACAAGTTTTTCTGCCAGTTGAGGTGGAGGCAGTGAAGAGTGAGGCCAAGCTGGATGGGATGTATGTAGTGTATCCTCCCACCAGAAATTATCCCAAGGACTGCCTCTGGGAAAGAGCTGCTCATTTAAAACTCTAGCATGGGAGGGCACCTTTTATAGCTTGATGGTAGTGCTTTGGACTCCATAGTTTTAGTCCTTCACTGTGGTGATGTATACAGCGAGTTGAATATGGGTTTATCTCCCTTTCTCTGGAGGTGATGCTGCACCAGTGAGTTGTAAGTAAATCTTTATGGATTGTTTGCAAGAACATACCTTGTAAAAAAAGACTTGGCAACTAAGCAGTAGAAAATATATTAAGAAGAAGAATTCAAGAATTAAAAGACTAAAAGATATTTAGTATTTGTTTATGGATTCTTCTAGCTCTGCTCATAAGCATCTCTCATGAGCAAGAAAGAGAAGCTGCTATTTTGTGGTGGTGATCAAGAAAGCAGGTCAGGTGTCCAGAAATGGGCAGGTGGATGTTTAAACTTGCCCTGGGTCACTGTTTGATCGCAGCTGAGTTCTCCTGACAGGTGGCTTGCCGAGTGCTGTGCCAGGATGACATTCATCAAGGAACTGCCTGGATGGCAAGCTGCTTCAGACTGAGGGAGAGGGTCTTTGCTTTGATGAGGAAATTGCCAAAACTCATGTCTCATTAGTGTTTCCTAAGGTTCTTTGGAAGTGAACAACAGTTTAATTAAAGGCTGATGTAAACACGTTTCTGCACTTTCCCCGCAGCATTTTAWCACGTTAGAATTGATCAAAATTGTTGCCTTGGGCTGTCTTGAACAGCTATACATCTGGAGCACCATTTGTGCAAGCTGCTGATGAACAGGCTGCATATGCTGTGCTTCACAGCAGCTCTCCTGCCTTCCTGTGTAGGCAGACTTACCTTGTTGGAACATGAGATGTTCTAACTATTTTCATTTGCATAAGCCTTTTTTACTTTGATGTGATGCTTTAAAACGTTCCACTCATTTGGGGGCCTGTATGCYGAATCTCCAAAGTAATACGAGAATACAATCAATAGTGATTTAGAACAGCAACTGAGAATTTCACATTTTAAGAAAATTCTCAGCAGGACAGGACACTGCATCTGATTGATTTTGACCTCACAATGACTTTGWCCGAGATTTTTTGGCATCTTTCTGCTTTTCATCTTTATTTAGGATTTTTTTTCCAAAAGTCTGTTTTATTTTCATTCTAAAAGTAATAAGGATTGGAATCCCTTCCCGAAACTTTTAAACAGTCATAAGAGCAAGTGGCTTTTTTTTTAGAACTAAGAAGTTATAGATGTAATTTTCAGTATATAACTAAGGTCTCTGTAGCTATTAGACTATACCACATGAAGTGGAAAAAGCAAAATGTTTTCAAATGAAAAAGAGACACATTTTTTATTATATAGAAAATACCTGTAAAATCCTATAAAGTCTCAGTGCCAYTTTAACTCAGCCTTTATTTAAGATACTGTATTAAAAGGCACTGTTTCATATGAGCAAAATTAAAAGCACTCTGCTTTTTGTTTTTGCAACTCGTAACTCTCCAAGGAAATGTAACTTTGGTGTTTTCCTCTTTCATCTCTAAGCCTCCTCTCTTGGTCAAAGAGAAGATGCCTTCAGCTGTTCTTCCTAAACCATAAAAATGGATTGTTCTGTCTCCCCTGTTGACTTCATCTATTGCTTGGCAGTGGCAGGAGCACGAATGTTTCATTATGAAGGCCAGACACCYGTGGGGAGAGCATTGGGGGCTGTGGAGGAAAAGGGATATCTGAACTATTGCTCAATGCAAAATACATTTTTTTAATRAAGAAGCTGCTTGCACTTAAGCCATAATTCTTTGCAGTTGCCTGTACTACATGTAACAAGACTCCTGAAAGTATTTAATGGTGGTGTTCAGGGCAGTGTACAAGTTGCTGCTATGGTGGGTCATGTGTAAATTTTTGGCAGTAAATTTTCCTGATTGCCCTTCACATTCACCATGATGAGAAGCGAGTCACCTGCATGAGACGTTCACTGAGTTTGATTTGTAATTTAGTCTCTGTGCTTTCTGCGTGCTAGCAATWGTCCTTGCTTACATAAAGCAGGGGCAGGAATAAATTAGACATTTTGAAAGTGAATGATAGGGTTATCATAGTTAACATCACATTKTTACTGGATTCTTCTCAAATTACTGATGCCACTAGTTAAATTGGATACTCTGGTTACATTGCACTTCATGTAGCATACTTCTTTTGAACATGTTTTGGTTTTGAAACACATACAATCTTTTGTGTGTTTAATGAAGTAACACTCATTTAGTAAATTAAAGTTCTTTTGCATTCCAGAAATCAGACGTGACATATGCAGACCTTCAGGAGATAAATAGCTCTCTTTTTCATGGGTTCTTTTGTTGAATATGAGCTTTATATSAGGAAAATATTTTCCACTTCCAGTTCATGTTTTTGCATTTTTTTTTTCTCTAGAGACACTTGAGTGCAGCTCTTTTAATTTGAAATACCATTTGTACATTCTCTCTTTGTGATAGCCTATATGTGAAGTAGTCACAAAAATATTTGGTCATTGATAAGTTCTGTGACAACTTCTGATGGCCAGTGTTGTAGTCAGAGGTGGTGCCTACAAGCAGTTAGACAATCATCTTTTTCCTGTAACATTGCACATTTCTGCAGAGACAGAGATTGCGCCTGCACAGAACCACTGTACAAAGATATTGGCTGGTTTATTTCCTCCTGGGCTTTTATAAAACTCCACATCTGTTATGGAGGTATGGGAATTTGTGGGAATTTTCTTGTTCTGATGGTTCTAGGGCCTAGTATGAAGCAACTAGGACTGCCATTTCACTAGAAAATAAAGCATAGTGAAAATTTTGAAAATCATTCCAAATTTAATTCTTATCATGTTTTGACTGTGCAAAACTCAACTTGAAAAAATGTAGCCATGCAATGAAAAAATTATTTMTTGGCTTAGCAGAACATATTCAGCAAAACTGTAAGCATAACATTAACATGCAACAGATCAACGTAATATGAAGTGTAACAGCAAACTTTGACTTGYCTGTTAAAACTGAATGAGTGCTGAATCACTCTGTTGTAAGCAATTCTTTGTTCTCACTGAAAGTTTTGCTGAATTAAATCCTTTAATAAAGCGGAGTTCTTGAAGATGTGAACTTTTGAGGGTATTTAGRCACTCATCAGACTTGCTAGTCAGGACTGAAGGGGAGGGTGGGAATGGCAGGGGGATGCTGGAGGGCCACAGGCAGAGTTTGCTCTGGGTTTGGTGCCCGTGCTTATGCAGGATTTGACAGCAGGATGGGGCACAGGAAACAAGTGGACCTTCAGTTTCACGTGTGCTGCTCTAAGAATACTTTTCATGGTGAAAACCCACTCAGGCTATAGTTATAACCCACTCAGTTCAGAAAGCACTGGTCCAGTTTGATCTCAATAGGGCATTCACAATTTGCAGGCCTATCTTAGCAGGATAGAGTGTGCCAATATTAAAAGTGTCAAAAATCCCTTTAAAATTGGCATGGTGCATGTAAGAAAGTTAGCTGCAACATGGTCCCTGTCCAGTAAAGTGATTAAGAAACAACCTTTGCTTTAAACATGAGTTAGTACCATTGATTTGAAATGGGACCCAATTGCCATATTGACATGTATCCTATWAAAATATTGTAATTAAATTTGAAATAATTCAGTGCAAAATCCAAAAAATGTTGATCAGTTAATTTAAACTTCTGGAAGAAATCTGGGGTTTTGCTTTGTAAAATTTCAATAAGCTTGGTAGAAATCATTGTCCCTACTAGTGTGTTATCTTCACAYAGTGAGYTCTAAAGAGATGTTTTTAGTGATAGGGAAGCTACTGGTAGGAAGAAGTGACAAGACCCTTTTTGAGACCTGGAAAATATGATATAGATCAGTTAAAGTATCCTTTGTTCTCAGGAAGACTATGTTATTTCACTACAGTTTTGAGAAGAGTAATGGATAAGTTTTGAAATAATGCAATAATAAATACCATAAACCAGCATGTGTATGGCAGTGTATGTGCATACATTATCCTACACACCTGAGTGTAGGTGTTCTATTAAAAAATGCARTAAAAATTAAGTGGCTGTTGAAGGAGCAGATGATTTGGTGTTGTTCTGGGGAGCTGAGAAGTGTCTAGGGAAGTTCTAAAGACATACATTTCTTCACTGTTTGAATTGTCTGGTATGAAAGGAATKTAGTTGCTGTTTTGCAGGGCAAAGACCTGTAAAGACACTATTTTTAATTCACAAGTTTGAAAGCAATGGTTTAAAATTCAGTTATTCATCATTGAGTTGGATCATCATACAATATTTGTGCAAGAACAGTAAAAAGAAATAATCTTCAGTCTATAAAATGATCTGTCCTGAGATAGGCTTCTAAGCTAATGTCACTGTTACAYTGTTTTTCTGTTGCAGATATGTCTTCTCCTACAATGAAGAAACCTGAAAAGCCTTTGTTTAGTCCTACTTCTCCCCAGGATTCTTCATCAAGACTGAGCACTTTTCCCCAGCATCACCACCCAGGAATCCCAGGAGTTGCACACAGTGGTGAGGGTTACGGAGGAGGAAATAAAAACCTCCCTGTTCATTTGTTCTGTTCTCCTTTTGTATAATCAGATTGTGATGCATTTTTGCAGTCTTTCTTAGAGACCTAATCCAATTTATAATTCTGAGAGTAGAAATGGAAAAAGTTGGGATATCCTTTCAGGAGTGTTAATTTAACTGTTCAGGTAATCTGACTGCTGGAAGTCACTAAAAAGGATTTAGGATTAACCAGTGAATAAAATAAACTGTACRCTGCATGAAGAAACAGAGGACAAATCCTCCCTGTTTCATCCTTTCACCTAAATACCTTTTTAATTATTGTTGCTATGACTTTATTGTATTTAAATACCAGGACGGGTAGGATTTGATACATAAGAGAAGTCCCAGCCATGTTAACTTTGTGACACAATGAAATAAAYACTGGTGCTTCTTTTGAATGCTTAGTCAAAAGATGTAGAGTCATGATTAAAACACCTGTTTTCCGAAATCCTTAGTAAATCCTTAGTAAAAATTCACTTGAAGTGTGGAAGAGATACTTGAAAAGTGACATAATGTATGTTGTCTGGAGGGTTTATCAGTAATGACAGGGAAATTCCAGCATCGTGGTCTGTTTAATTTTAGAGGTGAGACTGACCCTGATTTTCCAGATGAGATCATGGTCCTCAGATCACCGTCTCATCATGTCTTCTTATAAACTACATATGAATATTTTAATTTCTGGAGCAAAGCTGAGTGACTAGAAGAATAAAACAGATATGAAAATGTTCCTCTTTTCTTTCACATGCAGTTTTGCTTTAAGAAGTTTCTGTTTCATTTTTCCTCAATGATTTCCAGTACATCCCTTCAAATTTACGTTTCAGACTATTTTCCCCTTTGCATCCTCTTATTTTGTATGACAAAAGTGGCACTGGACTTTTTCTTGCCTCTGTGAGGTTTCCTCTACCAGCAGACGCTCAAGCACATTGGAGATAAAGGATGAAATGAAAAAGGATAGATTTCTCTTCATTTTTGTTTGTTTTGTGCAGCTCTGACATGCCAGAGCAGTAACAAATATTTTATATTTAAACAAAACTTGGTGGGGCTGTGACTGAAATGAACCTGCCACAAAAGAAATTACTTTTAATCCTATATTTACATGTATGTCTTTAAATTTAATTTAGAGAGTAGTTTTTAAATATACATATTTGAATGGCAATCATAACCTAACCTGTGGGTGACTTAGTTACTTGCTGGGAAACCCCATTTTTATCTGTGTAGCCTGTTCTATTATGCCAATAATGCCCCCAAAATAGGAAGTTCTTTAAAAATTAAGCTGACGAAACCCAGAGATGTGAAAGGTGGTCCAGAAGTGCAGGTATTGGTGCTCTTGTGCTGATAGAGAAACATTGAACAGTTCATAAAAGACCTCACTTTACAGACCTCATTTTGTACTTTTCCACTAATGAAAATGGAAACTTGTCTCTTCTCCATTTCCATTGAACTAAGTACCTCTTCTTTTAATACATCAGGTGTGTKGTCCCTAGGTGTAGTAAGCGTGTGCAGTGTGACAGAATAAATCTCTACACTTCCAGACTAACCACTGGGCAGCAGAAACACAACCTGCACCTTCCTTGCACTGTGAAAACACAGTCAGGTGTTCAGACACTGCACACAGTCTTTAGAGAGAGAAGTGTATATTTGTAGGGGCTGGAAGTAAAGAGAAAGAAAAGAATAAAAAATGTGTAAGGTAGATACTTTCTTGTTTGTCAGAGAGAATTTTATTGGATGGATTGTTTTCCGAGGCATTGAAGTTGAATGTTCATTAACATTTTCATAMAGGTCAGCAAATATTAGTGGCAATATTGATGAGTAGATACTGCTCTGTCCACGGAAGAGGCAGATAGAATGCAATGCAGTGAGGAATCCCTGTTTCTTATGGTTCGGTGATTTTCCTCCATGTTGGAGAGCTGTAAATAAAAGTGGGGGCTTTATTTAGTAAGCAAAATATTCCATTTGTTCTTTTGGGCTTCATATGAGAAATATGTGCAATTGGAATATCTTTTATGCCGGAGAATGACTACTGTTTGAAGGAAAAATGGAAAACATCAAAGCAAGATATAGTATTTATGAATTTGAAACAGTTGCACATTCAATTTCCTGGAACAATCTGAGGGCAGGACCTGTAAGTTGTGGTAAAAATGCGATAAAGTTAAAGTTCAATACATTGATTTATAACTGACTTTTAATTTTTCTTACTGTGATACAGAGGTGAAGTATTTTAGAAGAAACAAGATGCCAAGTAATTTTAATTTTATTTTATTTTCTCCAGTCATCTCAACTAGAACTCCACCTCCACCTTCACCATTGCCATTTCCAGCACAAGCTATTCTCCCTCCTGCCCCATCCAGCTACTTCTCTCATCCAACGATCAGATATCCTCCCCACCTGAATCCTCAGGATACTCTGAAGAATTATGTACCTTCTTACGACCCGTCCAGCCCGCAGACTAGCCAGGTACTGTAAAATTATGTGAACCCTCCAAAGCAAGTCCTGTGAGGAATATGTGTCTTCTAGGGCATCTAGACTGGTCATCTCACCAGTTCAGGTCTTAGAGAAATCTGGGAGCTGCCGTGTGGGTGAYACAACTTACCCTGTTCATCATGGTTGAATAAAAGGTGCAGATTGACCATATTTACTTGCTTTTCTTCTGTCAAGCACAAGACAAATACTTTACTGGGTGACCTGGCAGCAGCAATAGGGCGGGTCCTGGTCCTGCACTCATACTGCAGGTTGGGGCACCAGCAGCAAAGCTCCCACTGCAGGATGCAGCAAGGAGTGTGCTGATACACACGTATGTCCAAAAACACACATGGACATACAGGTATATTTATAGACTGTCAATGAAAATAAACTCTGGCAAGTTAATGCTAGCCCTGTTCCATAGGTGCTGATATTTCTCTGTGTAGTGAGCACAGCACAGACATACAAATTCTCTTATTATTCCTTTTGTAGAGATCATGCTGTAGCAGAAGCGTTCCTGGCAACTGCACCGATTCAGAGTTGTGTCTGATATGGAAAATTAACGTGTTTTTCATTAGTGAAGTAATTTGTGAAGGACTGTGTGCAAAACTGCTTTCCATGATAGCATCAGCACAYGGCATTAGCATGTGATCTGCACTACAGGATAAACTGCAGTTGAGACATGGTCTGTCAATAACTGGAATATTTCCAATGTCAGTGTAATGTAATCTTTTCTGCTCAGGCTGTTATTTATTTGATGCTTTGTCTGAAAGGCTCTCATGGAGCCCCGCTGCTTGTGCTTTAGCATGGTTTTTGGAAGAGCCTTGGGAATGTAAACTAAAGAGACAGTGGTCAGGTTTTCCTCCTCCTAAGAGTTAGGTTCCTTTGGAAGGACTTTCTTAACAGAAATGAAGCGGTTGCTATGACACCATTTTGTTTTGGGCTTGATTTGTTTTGTTTTTCACCAATAATGACAGRCCTTGCAGCATTCATTTTGGACACAGCAGCAATGGAACTTGAGGCTGAATCAAACTTTCTCTGTTGAATAACAGATACRTACCCTTCAATCAGTGCAGAAGGTCATGGTGGCTATTATCCACGTGGGCTAATTCCCTGGTCCAGCTGCATGACTTTCTATCTATTTACTTAAGAAAAAAAAGGAAAAAAAGTGGGTCCAAAAAAAATCAAAATTTACTTTGAAGAGAGAAATCCTAACTGTGGGTTTTGTTGGTTACAGCATTACTACAAAATAAACCAAAAAGTGAACATGGAGTATGTTGACTTTAGAATACAAATTGCTATCTGCACATGGATTAAAAGTCTTTCAATCCTGTAAAGCATTTTTTCTGAGACTCAGCTGGGAATGTTGCATGCAGGACCTGATTTTAATTTGTGTAAAATTTCCATGAATAACAAAGTCTAATTAAGACACCCATTAAAAGTCCTTAGCGTTAATTCAGTGCGGAAAATCTCAGAGTTCTGTTGGATTTTTTTTTTTTTTATAACTGATGTCTTAATTAGGCACTATTAASGGAAAAATTATGCAAATTAAATCAGGCCCTTACTGTTATGCATTTCTTTAATTATTCAGTCCTTGTTTTACTTACATTTTGATTTCTTATATATGTTAAAAGAGCAGATTAGGTGATAATCTCTCTGGATTGTTCCATGTTCAGCTTTGGATCATTACTGAAAAAGAATACAGTGTCTAAATGAAGTATCYGACTTTCTTTCAGTTGAAAAATGTGCTGTTTTATGATTTTTATCATTGGGGAGCATATTCATTGCACAGGAGTTATGCTTTCAACTTTTTGCTCAACTCTGTTGCTTTATCTCTGGTTAAAAAATTAATCTTTTGACCTTAAAAGATAAAATTTTACTCTGCTGATTTTTTTTCCAAGTAGTAGCAAACTGAGAACACTTCATATTCTCATATATTCCATAGGGCTTAATGGGCTTAACTAGCCTAAATTTGCTACTTTCTTCACTTTTCATAACCTTTTAATTATGGTAATGTTTTTCATTTCATTTGATGCTTGATTTAGTTCTTGAGAAGAGGGGATGAGGTAAATAACCCCAAATACACAATTGTAGGCATCTGCATCAGCTGTTTTCCATGATTTATTATCATTAATCCCCATTATTAGTGGAACATTTTAAAAATTAAATTCTTTATAGTCCACCTCTGAGATTAGTTGCAAATTGGAGTAGTTGCAGGCCTAGTTAAATATCTCTAAACAGAATAGTTAAAATTTGGCTGTATAAGAAGTAAAAGAGCAGGATTAATTTTTGCTTTGGAAAAGARGAAGAAACTGTCTGTGACGTTTCAGTGACAAAAGTGAATTGTTCTGATACAATGGCATGCTTTGTGCCAAACCAGATTTTCTTTTCTAAATAAAACATGAATTTTTATTCAAATAGATTTAATTATTCTAAAATGCAAAACTGCATCTGTAGGAATACCACATCAAATTTAATTATACTTTCCCACCTCAAAACATACTCATTTAGATTTCAAAAGAAGGACTACGATGATAGTTTTAATTTGGCTGTAGAAATAGAAAGGATGGATACCCCAACAGCATTTACCTAAAATGAACTGTTTCTCCTGAACATCTTTCAGTAGTACGCTAATTTAGATTGTTACGACAAGCAACTGAGATGCCTTGTACTCCCCACAGCAATTTTGAGATTAATTACATTACTGCTGCACTGATTATAGTGAGACAGTCATGCTATTCAATGGAATACTTTTAAGTAAAATTAATTCAAGGATATAGAGCTCTCATAGGTTTCCATGGTGGGAAGCAGTGAGCAATTTTCTTGACATAATGTTAAATAGTCCAAATTATGTGTGATGAACAGTCAGGAAGTTCAAACAGACCCTTTGGCTGCAGTGAAAAATGGTTCAACAATGGATGATCCTAAACAAAAGGGAGCTGTGGCTGCTGGTTTCATGAATATCTGCTTTTTATGCCCTACTCAATATAGAGAATAAACAAACAAATGTACTGAACAGAAATGGACCTTKTTAGAGATAGAGTTGGACTTCTCTCGAGCTAGTAGTCTGTCAAGTTCCCAGGATTTTGACAACTGCTGCAYTTTGCACTTATTAAGAATTTCTGCTGAGCCCTTCCTACTATACTTATTGCAATGCTTGTCTTAGCTGTGTACTCATGTTACTGGTTGAGATGGAGTGTGTGAGTGTGTGTCTGTATTGCAACAGGAGGCAGGTATCTCCAGTTGATAAAGGTCACTCAGTGCAAGCTTCGGCAAAAGCTGATTGACTSATATATGTCTAATCCACCTATGGTGTTTATCCATCTAGATAGTGTTGAGCTTTTCAAAGCCACCCCAAGTTTGCAGCATGTATTTCCTCTTTGAATGATTCCAGAGGGTTGGATCTTCTAATCTTAGAAAATATTATCTCCTCTGTGTGTACACAAGTATAGACACACACACAAATCTGCACATACCTGAAATGAAGTACTACTCAGGAGTGTGTGAGGATCATACACAGCATCAAAATCAGATTTCCAAAGAGCCTGAGCAAATTGTCAATCACTTGTGTGGCTGAAATCAAACACAAAATCTCCAAACTTGATGCACTGTTGAGTTAAATGGAATAATTTCCTGATTAAGGCATTGTGATTCACAGAAAGGATCTGCAAATGTGATGAAGGAAATAATATTAAAACAAAGAGCTAAGGTGAATCCTAGTGAAGAACATCTGTCTATTGGTGAGAATTTTTTTTTCTGAYTGAATAAAGCTAACAGAAGTAGACAACCATCCAAACTCTTTGAGTATGTATTATGAGGGGCACAGTTTACATGARACCTTAGCTGAAATGTTGTGATATTTCTTATGAAATACACAATKTTCATTATATGGTAAAACTAACTGAACTTAAAGGGAGTGGACTGTTTTCTTCTTACAAGAAATGGCTGACGTGTTATGTACKACAGGCTGAGAAAATGGCTGCATATTTGTTCATATTTTACTGCATATTAGACTAAAATTCCTGGGTCTGATAAAACATACTTTWTTGCAGCATGGGCTAGTTTGCAGCTTTATCTTTTTGTTAGTTTTACCTTTGTCTGAAGACAGCAATACCTGAAATGCTTGAGAAAGGTTGTTTCTGGAAGCTGATGAAGCCACTTATTTTCCTCTTGTACTTGATTGGGATATTTAACCTTTTGTTCAATAAAGACAGGCACATTCCTCAGGAATGCCAGGCAGATGCTTTGTCATTCTTCAGTGCAATAACTAAAGTCACTTAGTGTTGAGGAGGGAATCTTGTGAGGCTCTGTTTAGGCTGGTCAGAGCATTTCCTGTTGGCTCTTGGGGGAGTACTAGCAGAATAAGCCAAAAAAAGCATGACTGTGTGCCTGTGGTTTCTTTGGTATAGCTAGCACCTCCTTTATTTGTTGACATTTAATAGTTTTCAGCTTCTTGGCAAGTCTTTCCTTGATATTTTTGAAGAAATTATTGAAGATTAAATAAAGCAATGTGCATTTCTTAGTAGTGATTGGGAGGCAAAGAATGAGAGTCCTAACTTAACACTGTTTACTAAGTGTTTAAAGATTTAATTGCAGTTGTACATGGTTATTTTGTGTTTAGTCTGCTCTAAATGCATAAATCTCTAGAGTACATGAAATACTATGTTACATAAAGATATCTTTTGAACATTTTTCTACAAAGAGAATTCCCTTCCCATGCTTTTGTCACATAAACTTACCCTTAAGACAAATATACAAGAAAAGCTGGGGTTTATCTTGTGCTCTACCTGTTGACAACTGATTTTGTGAGCTCACAGGTAAGATTGTGATTCAGGATGTAGGACTCTAGACTGTCTCATGATGTACACTGCTGCTCATGGCTTGGMTTGCTGAAACTGCAGCTGCTCTCAGTTTCAGCAGCATTGCATCAAAAGGAAAACTCATACATTAATTCATCAAGTGAATGAGACTTAGACCTTTCTAGATCAAACTCA